CCCCAAAACCCCAAAACCCCAAAACCCCAAAACCCCAAGATTTAAAGTTTTTAAATAAATTTTATCAGTCATTAATAAAATATTATCAATCACCCATCAAAAATGTTCTTACGTACTTTCGCTACAAAAGCTCGGGCCAAAAAGCCAAGATTAAGCGTACTAGAAAAAACTGAAGAATTCATTAAAAATTTTAAGAAGACTGGGTAAATCCCCACAAGAGTATTCTAATTTTGAAATAGGAAGAAATTTACACAAATTACGGAAAAAGTTGATAATTCAGAAGGAAAGTACAAACAATTAGTTGATGAGCAGGGGAACTACATTCCAGACAAACTTAGTATTGCTGCCTGGAACGTCAATGGAATCAGAGCTGTACTGAGGAAGGAATCTCTCCAGCATTATCTTGAGGAATACTCACCAGATATTCTATGACTCAGGTAAAATGTTTTTGATTATTCTTAGTGAGACAAAGATCGATGAAAAGAGGCTTAAAAAGTTAGCCATTCATCAATATCTCCCATCCGAGTATATGAGTTTTTGGGATTGTTGTAAGCCCCCACATGCAGGGTATTCAGGGACAGGCTTTCTTACCAAATACGCACCTCTAAATGTATCGTACGGTCTTGGAATCCTTGAGCATGACGCTGAGGGAAGAGTAATCACATGAGGTAATAATCAAAAATAATGCATTAGAATTCGAGCATTTTTATGTCCTTTCAGTATATACTCCCAACGGAATGGATTCTCTTAACAGAATTGAATACAGGTAAAATGGCTTCTTACCACTAGAGTCTTTGAATGGGACGAAGCCTTCAGACTATACGTAAAGAAAGTAAATAATTCTTCTGATCCAATAGCTGCAAGAAACTGGCAAACTTGTGATTGTAACTGGAGACCTGAATGTGTGCCATGAGCCTATAGATATTCATAATCCACGCCAGTGTGAACAGTCTGCAGGATTTACATTCTGGGAAAGATCTTCATTTACTAAAATATTGAAGACACTTGAATTAGTAGATACATTCAGAGAATTCTACCCTGAGACTGCCAATTATACCTGGTGGAGCAACAGAGGCGGGAGAATGAGACTCAGAAATTTAGGAAGAAGAATAGATTACGTTTTAGTTGACCAAAAAGTCATCGATGGATACTGAGGTAACTTTATGACTTAACAATTTAGTTGATGATTCAGCTATCTTAAATGAAATTATGGGAAGTGACCACTGCCCTGTCTCGATGACCTTAGATATGAAGAAGTTACAAATGATAGTTTAATTCAATCAAAAGATTAATTTCCGGGGTTTTGGGGTTTTGGGGTTTTGGGGTTTTGGGG